ATTTTTCGTCTCGTTACATCAATATATTATTTTTTGAATAGCCCCGTTATTTCTAGTTTCAATTAAACAAAAAATTACAGTCCATTGCTCTTTCTCGTCCATTTTTTGGTCCAATCGATCACGGATATTTAATTAATCGCGAAAATAACGTGGCCAAATTTCAGTTTGCTCGTTTCAAAAGGAACAGAATTTAAAAATTTGAGATTTTTTGTGGTTCCATTCGGACAGGTACCGAACTCGCACCGATTTAAGCTAGACGTCGCCGTCGCATCCAACGATCGATCGCGCTATTTTCGGCACTGCGTACTCGCAAAAAATATATTGGTATTTTCAAAATTTTTTTGTCGCATAAGGAAGATTATTATTTCGGCGTTGTATATTTTTTGTTTAGCATTTAATTGACGCATTCTTTAAATATTTTCTCAAGTACTCTAATTTAAATATTAGCTCGTTAATCAAAAAATTTACACGCCACTCTACTCTCGCTCTCTCCCCCCGTCTCCCCCGTCTCTCCGATGTTTGCAAGCATTTATATAGGAGTGCCTATTGTCCACTACTAACTAAAATATTTTAAATTTATTTATTTATTGATTATTATTATTGTGATCATTATAGGAAATTGTAGACTTCAGCTTGTTGTATTTTGGCTCAATTAGCTGACCGTAATTGATATAATCAATTTTTACTTCACATTTATTCCTTTGCTTAAAAACAAAAAATGAGCGATAAAAAACTTAAAGGTTTGATAGCTCAAAGAGATCATGCTTCTAGTCGTTTGAACGAAATGTTCGCAGTGGTGTCAATTAAAAGTTTTAAGGGTGATTTTGTGATTTGAATATACGGTAATTCTTTTTTATCCGAGGACATGTGATATTCTATCACGTTTCCTGTTCGAGGTTCGGGCTTTCGCGAAAATTTTCGTTTTGTTCTTCATTTTGGTTGTCAAAGTCGGGTTCGTAGTTTTGTTGATCATCTGGTGGGTATTCGTCATAGTCAGTTTGTTCGTCGAAGTGTTCCGTGTTGAATAATTCTTCAGAAATAAAATTGGGTTTTTGTCCGAAATTTTGGAAATGATTATTGCTTTGGAAAGGTTTCCTTAAATGAGTCGAAGTATTCCTGGTGGATACACTCATAGGGGTAGGTTTATCCCGTGAGGTACTCGGTCCTGCAGAAGTTTTTCCAAAAACTTTTGAGTTAGTGGGGAATCTCTGCATTGGTGGATTGGGGTGTCTTTGAACATTAATTGGGCCACGAGGGAATTGTGGCTGATGAAATTGGGGTGGATTTTGTGGCCATGTTATGGGTCTAAAGTGAGGTTGCTGGAAGTTTTGATATCTGTTAGCGGTTGGTTGTTGTAGCCTTTGGGTTGGTGGTTTATGTTGTTGGAATTGATATAAAATGTTGGTGTGGTTAGATCTCTGATAATACTTAATGTTGTCTTCCTCAGTTATGTATTGCAAGGCCTGATTTAAAGAAGTTGGTCTCATTTCCCGAATAGTTGGACCTAGAGGATCCTTAAGTCCTGCTAAGAATGTTTTTAAGACTTGTTTAACAAAGAAATCTCTCTTACTTTCTTTTAGTTCATCTGGACAATTTATATCAATATGGTTGCAAATAGTATTTAATAAGTGAATAACTTTTTCGTGAAATTGATAGGGAGTTTCATTTTGTTTTTGTCTCAAGTTAACAAGGTCTTGATTTAAACAATTTTCGTCTCTCTTATCGCCAAAATACTGTATAAGAGCGGTTTTAATACCGTCCCAACTTGTCGGATTATTAATTGCAACGATTTCCTCTGCTCGTCCCTCTAATTTATTTAAAATTCCATTTAATAAGAGCATATTTTGAAAACACGTTGGTTCTACAGGATTGTAATATTGTTTTAAAATTGCTTCAGATGCCGTAATAAATCGATGAAGTTTATTTGGGTTGCCATCGAATTGCGGGATAATGCTTAAATTTTTAATATCAAGAACTGGTCGTGCCATAATTTCCTTAGCACTACTACTTGAAATTCTCAAATTTTCGAAAAAGTTTGTTAAGTTTAAATCTAGTTCTGAATCTAAATCTAAATTTGTCTCTTCGTTGTTTTCATCAATGGAATCAACGGAGAGAGAGGAGTCTGACTTGCACCAAAAATTGTATCAATCGACTTACAGTATCAGCATCACGGAAGAGATGAAAACCATACTTGTTGCCGGATTTCGTCGATGTATCCCCAATAAATTTCTTCGAAGCAGCACTGTTTGGTTTACTCTGCCCACTTAAAATTGTTCACTTGTTGATATTTCGTTTAAGAGTTAAAACTCACAGATTTTCCGCGGCGGAAGTTCCACGAAATAATCCTATCGACTGCGCCACTTAAGTACCTCGGATGCCGAAAACCGTTTTTAAAAAAACACCAAAATTACAACAATTGTATTTTAATGACTTAATTAGTCGACTGGTTACATCGATTTCATAGACAAGACTGACTGTTTTACAATAGAAAATATTACGTTGAAGAATGGGATGTAATTGTAGACGCGACACTGAAAAGCACATCTTGCCGTTGGGTTTGTGCTAACTCAGGGCTAATTAAATACATTAGCGTCACGTTGGGATGTTTAACTCGCGCTACGTTAGTCGAGCTTAGCCCAACCTATCCGACAACGATTTCGCGACGGAGGCGACGATAAGAGAATTCAACTAATAAAAGGTCGTCAAGGTCGCGTAAAATATAATAATTTATTGACAACATTTTTTTTGCGGATTAAATAAAATGCAACAGGGAAAAAGACGTTTAATGACACTAATATCGAACAAATTGTTTTATTAATCATATACAAAACCCCATCAGGATAGACACATATTAATAAATATATTCGAACGATATGCATATATAAATAGCATATATGGACATAAATAGATACATAAATTAAACACAAATATAAATTACAATCATCTAAAGGAATCGTAACATATTAGTTTGCCAAAAGAAATATCTGCTTCGTATGTGGTCGATCAGTCAGTGATTTTTCCGCTGTCCTTTGAACCAACCAAATTTCGATGGCCCCAAGCTAGCGTGTACTCTGAGCCGGGTGTAAGATGTCGTTTGTCATCCGCGTAAGACAACGCCACCTTATTTTTCAGTTCGACGTATATATCATGTAAATGTGAGCGAAACGAAGACATTTGGCGCAAGATTAGCGTGCCTTCCTCGTTGACAGCGCGCTTATAGTCGTCGAGACTAAGTTCGCGCTGGCTGACCGAGTCAGCAACGCCCTTGACCTTTTTGGTAAACTCGTTGCCGTGCACATTTACGCAATAAGCTTTCGCTCCCGTACCCAAGAATTCCCACAACGGCCGTCCTGCGTACTCGTCCTTCATTTTACCAAGAACGGGCTTATTTACAGGAATGCCGTGTTGGTTGTTCTCCGAGTAATTAGACGTATCGAATTTGTCCAAATTTTCTTTCATATCTTCGTAGAAATTTTCGCAAAAAATTTGGACAACGAGGCTGTCGGTATCGGTGTAGAGTAAGACGGCCTTGTCGCTGTACTTAGCCTTTAGATAGCCGTAAAAAAAGTCGTATATGAGAGTCTTGGATATGTCCAAAATGCAAAATCCGGCGTAAATAGGCTTATCATATACGACTTTAGTCCTTTCCATCTGGAGACCGACTAGATTTTCGCTAAATATGGCGACATTTTTAAAATTAGGTCTCGCGATTAACGCTTCTGCCCCCAACATTTTCCCAATGGGAAACGAGCCGCACGTCCACCCTTTTGTCTACATTTTCCATCGTTTTTCCAAACAGCGTTATTCATAAGTTTGAAAAAATCTTTTTCAAACTTATTTTTAGCTGTATTACGCATCGCCGTATTCAAGTCTATGTATTGTTTTAGCCAGGGAGATTGATCGAAAGCAAGAACGCGATGGATGCGAACAAGCTTTAAGCCGTTGTTTAAAGCCTGTTGCAGATTCCTATAATGCAATACATAATTACGTTTATTGTTTAAATTTGGAAAAAGTTTTTTCATTTTTCGCGATTGGCGAAACGATGGATTCCGGGCAAAAAGGCAGTTCGTTGTGTGCGTTATGCAGCACTTCCGGATAGTCCAAATCTTCTTCGAAAATATAGCCCCTAGGTGAATCGTTGGGGATACGCGTAATATCTAAATTTTGAATTTTGCCCTCCTCCAACTACTCGAAGTTTCCCGTTGGGAGGTATTGTGACATGGCCGCCCCGTATAAATTGGTAGCGTCCAAGTACATGACGTAAGAGGTAGGTTTGGAAGGGTCGTAATTAGGTAAAAATTTATTATTAGCCGCGGCCTTTCTCACACTACACTGACTTACTCCTCCGCGAATACCGTGCTTCAAGAAGTGTATCATGTCCACGTCGGTCAACAGGTCCAGTTCGACCTTTGTCGCCTTAAGGGCGCTCGTCCATGATAGACCCGGTGTCGTATAAAACTGACTCGGGTCCAGACCGTACGTTTTCAGACACACCTCTCTGAAGTTTTCAAAAATATCGGCTAAAAGTAAAACGTCGGATTTTAAATAAATATCTGAATATTCGCCTAAAGTTTTACATTTGAACAAATTCCACACAGTCCAGGCACGCTTGTAATCCTCCCTGCTTATGTTGCTCTTTCGCATGGAGTCATAAAAGTCCTCGTGCGATGGCAGTTTGGTTTCGTCTAATTTTGAAAAAGAATCTAGATACGTATATGGAAAAACGCCTTTCTGTCGAATAAGTTGAAATTCTTGTTCATTTTTAAAAAAATTTTTGACTTCCCGACACTGACTATCGTTCAAATTTCGACTCAATCTGTCCAAACTGGATGCCATAAATCGAAATGAATCTAAAAATCGGAGTTTTAAAAATACCCTTTTCCCTTTGCCTCCTTTCTCCGACTCAATGTTATCGACTAGGACATGTTTCGTAAAGGAAATGTAACGTTCCTTGTTTTGGGCGATGACATCGATCTTTTCCCCTTCTTCAGCCATAAATTTTACAAATAAATGACTGTCGAAACCAAAATGGTGAAAAAAGACAGGGATGTGCCCGGAACTTTGAAATTCAAGTTGCAAGTGGAGTGAGCCGCACCTCGAAATTCGCCCGGCATATGACAATAATCCCTTACTTTTTCGTCCTCTGCATTAAGTAGCTTCTCGCAAATGTGACAAGCGGCAGCGTTTCGAAAGCCGGTCTCTTGTTCAAACGATAGAGTGGTCATGGACACGGAAGTTTTCATGAACTTGTTGTAGAGCGCTTTGCAATCGCTCTCCAACCATTCCATGAAAATTTTGTGTGCGCCCCGACCTCTGTACTGTTTAAAAGTAGACTGGGAATCGTCAAAGTTACATTTGACATAGTAGGCGAAAGAGTAAGGCTCGTGAATATGAATTTTGACGGTAAACGATTTGTCGGGATTCGGTTCGCCTCCCACCTGTAAAGGAGTCATGACTGTTTCAAAGTCCGCGTACACAACAAAAGGCACTTTTAATTTCTTTTCAAATTCTTCAAATTTCAGCTTATTCGCGGGAACATCTTTACCGTATTTATCCTTGCGCAATTCGGTGGTCGGAAGTTTGATGGAAATGTGAGTGCAGTCGTGTTCTTTATGACGCTTTAGTTTTTCTTCGTTATAAAAATAAACCAAACACCCATCGCATAAAAACTTTGTAGTGGACCTTTTAGTTAATTGTTTTGAAACCAACCGAGACATACTTCTTATTAAACAATAATGATTTTCTCATTGGTCATTACTAATTAATAAGAGGTTTACATGTCTCTCTTTACGAGATTCAGTAAAATGCAAAGGACCAACGACCTCAACATCATTATGGATTTTGTTATAGACTCTCTCGAGGCCATAGACATTGACCGAAATTTCATTAAGTCGTTCAAAAGTGGATGTCGTTAAGTTTAACGGGAAAATCGATACCTGTAAAATTCAGCTCGTTCTGAAACTCTACATAGCTACTGACCCTGTTAGCGTTATTTGTCCAGTGAATTGGGTGGAGAGCAGCCAAGATCGACCACATAAAGCATTTTTCGTCCGTATTTTGCAAGTTCAAAACAGCTTTTTTGGCTTCGATTTCCTTGGGCAGGCTAACATAGGACGACGCCCTTAGGGGATTGTACTTGTTAATCCCTATTTCTAAATGGAGGAGTTCCTGTAAAAAAGAGAAAGAAATTAGTTCGGAAATATACATTTTTATGAATCATACCGCTGTCCCTTTCCTGAACCTCGGACGCTTTGGTAGCCAAGATGTCGACGAACTGGACGTACAGCTCCTCCAGATCGGTGTTTCCGCTCACCAGCCGATATTTGCTATTGAAGGACTTGACCTCCTCTTGTTCCTTCGTCTGCAAGAGGAAGTTTCCGAATAGCTCCATACCGACTTTTACGTTGCCGTAGCGTCGGACGTTCGACTCTACCAACGTAAGGATTTTGGACCTAAGGTGGTCCAAGAAGCCCTTAACGTCGGTAGGGTTAACGGTGGACGCCAGACGGTATGTAGCTATGCGGTTACGGAAGGAGGTCTGTATCATTTCTACTCCTGGCTCCTGCACCACGCTGCATTTTTGGCGGTGAGCCAAAGTACGCAAGTGTCCTTGCCATCTCTTTGCAGGAATGGTCAAGTTACACTGCGTACAATGGCGCGTGGATGATGGTGATGATGATGATGTCGAAGCTATAAAATACAATATGAGAATTGTTTGGGATTTAAAAGCAAAAATCCTTACCTTCCGGTAGGTCAAGTCTCGGGCGCTTGCAGCAATAGGGGCGGCGGCGGGTCTTTTCGCCTTGGGAACCTCATGCTTCTCGCGTTGATGGCGTCGGAGAGCCCCCTCGGATTTGTATATCCCGGCGCAAACGTCACAAATTTGTACTGCTGCGCGACAATCCCCGTGCCTCGCCAGGTGGTCTTTACGGCTGAACGAGCGGTTGCAATATTCGCAGGTGAACATTTTTATTTGCTGCGAGGAATAGGCGTCTCACTCTCCAACTGTTCCAGATCTCTACTTGACACTTACTTTTTTTAAGTGTTGAAACACAAACAAAAATCCAAAGAATGAAGTCTCACTATGGCGGCGGTCACTTGTTAATTAAGCCAATTTTTCTGGGGTAATGAATTTAAAATTACATTCGAGAACGTTCCTTCAGAATAATTAAGATTTGTGTTTGCGAGAATTGCGCAATATAACGCAACCCGCTGATAAAATTGGTCGTAGTTAGCGACCTAACCTAACAAAACCGTCGTCGTATGGGGCCGCTTCGCTTCGACACTCGACCGTTGGTCGTGGCGTGAATGTAAATTGCAGCGCGATTGTGTGTGACTCAGGCGTACCGCCGCCGTCGCGTTTGACGACTGGATGACATCATCGCCCGCCGCGTGGCAGCGTGGTCGCATCGCCGGTGTGCGGCAGCGGCTGCATGACATCATCGCTTTGCGGAATGTTTAAACGAAACTTTGGCGGGTGAGATCATCGCGTCGCCTGCCTTCGCCGCAAAAAAAAAATGTTTTAAACGAGATTTTCATATTACACCGCTTAGGAACGGCATACGTGTTTTCCTGCGACACAAGAAATGGTTTAACCGAAACGTTTGATATTCTTACCGAATGCGTTTCCTTCGACATCGAGTTTATCGTCGCATTTCCTTCGACGTGAACAAAAACGCAAAAAAAATCTTTAAACGAAACCAGAATCTAAATTTTCGATGAGGGAAAGTGCGGCATCACCCCGCATTACTTCAACCACATCCCTCCCTGTATATATATATATATATATATATATATATATATATATATATATATATATATATATATATATATATATATATATATATATATATAATTGTTCGATCGCAATGCGAAATAAACATTCCAGTTTAAAGAAGCAAAATGGTGTCGGACCTGTCGAAACCTGTTCCGTAGAGGTTTTGGGCCTGTTTAAGGCTGTCCTAAACCTGTTCGAGAGCTGTCCCATAGATATTTTAGACCTAATTTAAATCTGACCAAAAGCGTCCTGGCTAACATTTGAAATAAAATGAAAATATTTTAACGCGATTTTATTTTTATATCAAAATACAGTTACTGACTATTTTTTCTTTTTTATACAATATGTCCTGGAGCCAAATTTTGGAAATATCCGATTTTTGCTCTGTATTCTTCCGCACGTAAGCACAGTAATTGGAGATCGGCCTGAACAACTGAGTTTCGAGCTGGTGGATACTTACTTCACATTGCATCAGCTGATTTTCCAAATTGTTTTTCAAATTGAACGCCTCACAAACTACCCTTTTTTCGTTGTTGTTAGCACCACCAGTCAACACTCGCCCTCCTGGCTGTTCGGCAACGATTCGTAAGAGGGTGCCACCGTCCGCGCACAACAACAACGATTCGTAAGAGGGTGCCACCGTCCGCGCACAACAACAACGATCCGTGAGAGGACGCCACCGTCTACGCACAACGTTCGCTGAAGCCTGTCAGCCGCCGGGCATTCACTTGCTCCGCGTGTGCCTGGCATAAGCAGTTGTTTACGTCAAATAAACCCCTTTTTACAGTTTAATTTTTGTGCAATTATTAAGTTTAACGCCCTAAAGACATATTTTCTATCAGTTGTCATCTTTGAACGCCTCTAACCATTCTCCTTGTGCTTGCGGTAGAGATTCAATTTTTCCTTTCTTAACTCGTGAATTTGCAGCAGTATGCTTACTTTTTGGAATATCTGTTGGTGGCTGCGAAGGCAGTGGACCCATCAAATCATTCTCTTGCAATAAATTTAAAAAATTATCCGGCAACACAATTTGTTCCATGTCTGTCTCGGACGCTCACAAAATCAACAATAATAGAAGAAATTTATAGGATATTCGCGGTGTCGATCCATGAATCATGTGACTTGCCCAAGCCCAACCAGCGCACGAGAACCTTATTTCCTCGTTTACGCAGCACCTTTTCGACGAGATAGACGTCAGGGTTAACGGTTTTCTGCAATTCTTCCTGGTAAAAAGCGCCCATTACAGGCTTACCCCTCATATCTTCCAACAGATAAGTTACCGGATTTGTAATCTGCACTTTTACGATTTTAAACAATTCCGTGGTCCAGTTGGGAGTATAACCTTTGCTAAACGCGTGCTTGGTCTTGCTGATTCTTACAACGTCGTCCAGTTTAAGTTTAGATGGTCCTACAATTTTCAAGTGGCTGTACCCTGATTTCAGCAAACTAGGCGCGTTATCTTTTTTCACTTCTTTAGGTTTCATTCCGGTGGTCCTGTGCACGCTACTGTTATATTTTTCCACAACAGAGGATAAAACATCTATCCATTTGTAGGTGCCGTTTAACGAAAAATATCTAAATAATTTTTCCTTGAGAATACGTATAACTCTCTCGGCTACGGCAGCTTTCACGTTGCTATATCTACTGTAGTGATTTATGTCAAACCTACCCGTCATTTTTTTAAAATGGATATTATAAAACTCTTTGCCGAGATCAGTTTGCAAATTTTGCGGCCGGCGTCCTTCTTTGAGAATTTGGGTAAACGCTTTGGTAACTTCAACACCGGTTTTTGTTTTTAACGATCGACACCACACGTATTTTGAAAAGCAATCGATCACGACTAGTATGAATTTAAAGTTTTTATTTTGTTTCGCTTATAGGTCTAGCTGAGCCAAATCCGCTTGCCACAAATCATCCAGCCCTCGTATTATAGTTCTGTATACGCGCGTAATTTCTGCGTGCCGGCTTGTGCAGCTCTCGGACAAGTTGTGCTTTCTCACTGCTCATTACTTTGTCGATTGCCCGTCAATTTGAATTAAACACCATTTTAAATCATTCATTAGTTGTTGTCGCTAACTGATTTATTTGGTCCAAACTCGTATTGTATTTGTTCGCCCATTGTGTATATCGGTTTTGTTGTGGCAAAAGTTTATTAAGTTGGGAATTGATATCTGCCTGATAGCTCTTAAATGTCTTCTCAAGCTCTTCTATTTTGGATAAATGTTTTTCCAACTCCTTCATTGAATTATCGTATTTCTCGTTAGGGTGGTGATTAAAGTGTGTACCAAATTTATTAATAGTCATGACAGCAGTTGTTACTCAAATAATTTTCTAACTCTCAGTCGTGCTTATTTTATAAGATAACTTTTCCCTCTCTCAGTTCTTCAATAATTGAAGCTATTTCGTTCTCATGTCCCGTGTGCCCCGCAGCAGTAGATGCCAATAACAGTCTTAATCTATCGACAAGCTTGTTAACATTATCCCAATAAATATAATCTGTATTTTCTTTATTTGATTTTAAAGTTAGCCCTGTCCCAGTTTTGATTGTCCTATAAGGCGGAGGCACTTTAGAAAATGCGTCAGCTAGTCGTCTCACCGGGTTTTTTGTTTTTGTTATTCCTCGCTGCTGTAAATAAGGTGTGACGGTTTCATATTTCAATGGTAAAATTTAGCATTTTTAAAGTGAGAGTGCTGGCACATTTGCGAAGTAACGGGTTTATTTTATTAGTACCTTGTAGAATTAATTGTACTGTCCATTTCCTTCACCTTTTGCTGTTTGGCGAGTGCTTCTTAACAATTAAAATTCTTGTTTATTAGGTTCATATCGATTTTGCAATTTGAACACACGTTCTTTTGTAGACTCGGTTCCTTTAGTTTCGGACTTGTACTCCCCGGCCGATTGTGTTGCCGAACCATAAATATTTTATGCTGCAACGGCTGTGTGCGTGGCCCCTTGTTCGCTTGGTTTTCTCTTAAGTGACACCGGTTTACTGAGAGATACTAATGCAAAAAAACAGAGTATTAGTTGCGCATTAGAAGGAGTCATAACCATTACCATCTGTCACTCTATGAGACTAGGGACCGCATTTGCTTTTCATTGCTTCGGTATTCCTTGGCGAGCCTAGTAAATATTGTTTTGTTTCTTAACCTATTCTTCCTCGATTTTCTGTGACTGGCCGTCCGGTCGCCACCATAGATAGCGTTCGGGTAATTCGATCTCGTTGACGCAACCTCGATTCTTTGGCACGGGCCATACGGCCATCACCACAGATATAGTTCGGTTGTTCTTTCTACTGGCGGCGTACCGTCGACTAGGTTGGCAAGAGTGGCGTTTTCCCTCTAATTTTTTGTGCCCGTTTAGCCTTTTAATAAAACTGGTTGTCTGAATCGTCCGGCATTTTGTACGCTAGCTTTTGGAGCTTGGGGTTGTGGCAGATTTTCTTTTGTGTGACCGATTTCTTTTTGAGCCGGTAGTGCTACCCCAATAAGAGGGGGATATGTGAATTGGTCACTAATTCATGATTTCCCATACTTTTGGATCTATTTGGAGTTTGGAATGGGAATCTTCCTCAACGAGGGATTTTGAAAGGAATTGTCATTGCCCCATATTTCCAGAAAACCCTCGAATCGAGTATTGTACGTATTGTTGCTCCGTTTCCCGCAAACCTTCCACGTGGTTTCTTCTTTCACCGGAATACCAGACCAGACTTGGTGTCTTGCAGTGTATGCTGTCTCTTGGGTACATGTTTAGTTGTGGAGTTTCCCCTATCGAGCAGCCGGCTTTCCGGACGGACTTTGCTGGGTTAACTGGGACTGCCCACCTGCGGCTGTCCCATTGAGCCACCATTCCATCTTGGCTTGGTTCCCGGGATAGTGACAGACAGCTGTGTAACGTTCGGGACATCTTGAGGTTTGGGTAGCTTAAGTGGCCTGTTCTCTTCAAGAACGGTTTGCGGAACTTGTAGCC